ATACACAGCAAGAGGTTTTTCTCCCTGTTTCATACTTATCACCTGATTTCTTAACTGATAGGCTCTGGCTTCATTTTGCTTCTAAGAGTAGGTTTTAGTCACTCCATCCCAAATCTCCTTAGCAGTATTAGCCCATAGGAAATTTTTTGCAATATGAGGTAACATAGAATTACACAGCCAGGACATTACCATGTAATTCTCTTGCACCCATCAGGAAGAGTCAGTATCAGATTTCTTTTCCTCCCCAATGAGATACCCTAATTTTCCACGGGCACCAATAGCCATTTTAGTTGATTGTGCCCACTCCAAATAATTTGTACCATCAAGTTTTACTGTAGTTATGATCTCAGACCCAAAAATATCACTACTACCTCCAACACCCAGTCCCACAGTACTGGTAGATTTCATCTCGGTATTCCAACTCTCCATTTTACTTCAAAGAGTTCAACAGTAAGAAAAAATAGATTGGAAACCTTCAAAAAATAATTTAATACCACACACACAGAAACCAACCCTTCCGGAAGAAGAAAACCCTAGCTGGAGGGAAATCTCTCTCCTCCCCATGCCTCCCAACAGAGAGAAGTGAATCGATCACTCTGGGAGGCCTAGAAAATTTCAGAAACCAAATCGCCCTCTTCAGAAAATCAAAAGAAAACTAACAATACCTGGGCGCCCAAGATCAGATAAAAAACAAAGAGTCCAACTTTTCTGGGACTCTTCCCTGTACTCCAATTCTTCCTGATTTTGATGTCGAACAGTAGATCACCTTCCTGATGTCTAGATCCCACCAAAAACTCCAAGAACTGGGCAATCTATAGCAGATAGATCAGCCCTTTACTACTTCATGCAGTCGGTTGATCTAGGGCTGCATGAGAATGCTTCAAGAAACCCTAGTCGATGCTCTGATACCAAGTAGGAATCTTCTGAATTAAAAAAAATATGAAAGAAAGTAGTTTCTTGGAGGAGGAGAGAAGGAGAAGAAGAGAAGAGAAGTTGAAAAGAAAAGAGAGCAATAATTTGGCCGCCCCCTTCACTTATTATTTATACTAAAATAATAGAACAGTACAAAGACAACTATGCCCTTATAGGGCGACAAAACATAAAACAGCATATATAACAACCATCTAAAACTAACATAAAACATCTACTCAGAAAAACATCATAAAACTAATTAATCTTCAACAAGAAAATTCCAGAAATATTCTTGAGGCCATTGGTGCTTTTTAAAGCAGTATAGATTTTTTGAAGATAAACTTCCCATTGATTTTCGAGGGAAAAACTGACATGAATGGAGTTTTATACCGATTTATGAGGTATATTAACACCTCTACCAAACTTCTACAAAACCGGATCAGAGTGCAATATTACACTGGTCCAGAGTTTACACCACAAACAAATGTAGCCTCAAAGAAAAATATATGTCGCAGCCACCAAAAGCATTCAAAAGTGTCAAACATTTACCAAAACGATTTTTTTGGTAATAAATAACCTTCATTAAACCAACAAGAACAACGAGGGAAAGAATAGGAATACAATGAGTATGAGACAATACAGACAAAACAACCAACTACACCACAACACATCCAATTACACCGACCTATTAGAATAAGAACTAGTAGAGTCCACCATAGATGATCAACCAACCAGTCAGGACAACAATTGACAAAAAACCCCCTTCATTCAATCCCTTTTGGAGGAAGGGACCCACTACTCAACAAATCCATTAGAGATGCCATTAATGAACTCAAGTGATAATAACCATCAGTCTTCTTTTTTCCTACTTTTTCCAAGGAGGATTGGAAGGCCATAGCCTATAGCATTGCGTCCTGTACGATAAGTTAATAGACTACAGCCACATTTGGCAGGGCTTAACCTTTGGTTGAGTTGCTTCAGATTAGCTGCTTTGAAGAAGCCACGAAAAGAAGCTCCAATGGAAAGCCATGTATGAGGCTGAATGATAGCGAGTTTGGGCTCTCCAGATTTTTCACCAGACATTTCTTATAGTCTTTTTGGGTGGGCCCACCTTGCAAAGCCAAAAGAAGCCACGACTCACGTGAAACCTCCAAAATGAGCACTACAAAGGCGCATTTCAGCTTTGGTTAACTCCTTGATGCTTGCTCACAAGTAGACCTGTTCACAGACTGGGCTTTGGGCTCAGCCCATGACATTTTACACTGTTTCTGGCTCAGGCTTTGGGCTGGGCCCATTCAAATTTTGGCAAAAGCTCAACCTGAGCCCTGCCCGTGAACAGATCTGCTCACAAAGCCTCCACCTCACAGGTATTAGCCTTGGTGATCTAGACAGGAATCTGGTGGAAACACTGCATTCATCCCCATCTGTTCCTCATATCAGTCTTCCCCTCTCTCCAAGATCTCCTAATAACTCTGTTCTATGATTTGATGGTAGTCTAAGGAAAGATCAAGACAACCAGATGGCATCAGGAATAGGGGGAGTCATTTTGAGCCCTAAGAGTAGCCTACAATGGGTGTTTAGTCTTCAGTGCCCAATTAAAGTAGCTGATGCCTCAGAATCTGAGGTTAAAGCTTTCCTGGAAGGTCTTCAATTAGTTATTCCTTCCTAGTAAAAGATGACTCTAAGAATGTGATCAGCTGGATAAACTCGAAGGGGACTGAGCCTTGGATGCTGGCTCACTTTGTGCATGAAATTTCATACATTTCAGCTTCTATTACTTACAGATTCAGATGGATTTTGAGAGAGCTCAATCAGTCAGCTGACACTTTAGCTAAATCTGGGCTGGGAAGGGATAGTTTGTATAGTGCTAATGGTCTTCCTTGTTTTTGAAAGGGCTCTTTTCTTTTTGGTTGTTTTGAGCCCTTTTGTACATCATCTCATGTACACTCCCCTTCCTTTTTGGCTTAATGAATTTTTTTTTTCTCAAATAAAAAGAAAATGAGCACTACAAATATGCATCTGGGTTGGGGTTCACATTAAAGGTCTACTAGAGAAGACCAACCAAATGGTTGGCCTAGAGTCCTTTGACAGGCATAGCATTGCAGAAAAGTTCTCAATAAACTTTTAAAGCTCACCTTGGTCAAGATTCCAGGATTGGTAGCCCCTCCAATGTAGTTCAAGAGCAAAACTCTTCCAGGTGGTGCTCGGTTAGGAAAAAGTGATGAACTGTATATCGTCCCTGCATTGCACAAGAAAAACCAGCATTATGAGTTAAACTGAAACTATTGTGCAACATCCCTTTGTGGAACATTTTGCTCTCCTGAATGTTTTCATAATAACCCTGGTCGGTTATTGTTCTAAAGGAAAGAAGATATACCTAAAGTCTCCACTCCTTGACTACGGGGATGCAATTGTCCAAACCCCTTAAGCTCACCATCTATTAAGCATTCTCTCCGGATTGCTTCTTTTGAATATGATATAGAAACTGCGGCCACTGGAGGGTAATAAAACTTTGAGAGGGCATCTGCAGCAGCACTCTGCAAACAATAAGGTAGAGAGTTTTTAAAGAACATTCTCATGAATGTCATACTTAGTTGATCAAGGAAAAAAAAAATAGCACAGAAAGAATTCCATATTTAGCAAATGCTTTGCCTGATTCCTCAGCCAGAGAAGGGATTTAAAGGTTGATAATGCTTCATGGTCACATCAACCAGGTTTTTTTTTTTTTTTCTTTTTTCAGATCAATCTCATGGACCACTTTCAAGGTCCTTGTATCCTTTTACACTAGAGACTTTTTGTGTCAACACAAATTATTCAAGGTGAAATATTTGAGCTAAATGTGTGCCCTTTTTTCAATGAAAATTTCATTTTCCTTGGCATTTACATCAAAACAAATTACAAGGGGTGGAGAACAAAGTCTTTACTGTAGAAGGGATAGAAATAACAGTTGACATATTTCAGTCTGAAAATCTTATATCCATTTTACAGAGAAATAAAACAGCCTTAATGGAACCTTTTTGTCTTTTTGATGGACAACCCTTTTTTGTCTCATAAGAGAATAAGTTAATAAAGGAATAAACAAGATATACGTGTGAGGTATATATCTTAGGACTTGCCTTGAGATGAGGCTTACAGAAACTGATCGGATGGGTTTTGAGGTCAATGGGATAATTATCATCTTTTTTTATCAATATTCCTTTTTTGTCAATAGGGATAATTATCATGTTGGAAGAGGACAATAAAATAAGGCAGTCCAAAATATGAGATGGAAAGAAACTGATGGGATGGGCTTTGAGGTCAAGGTGAGAAAAAGTCAAAGGGGATACTATAGGACTGAAGATAGGATAGTCAGGTTTAAGATTTCAGGCTAAGAGGAAATTATGTGAAGCTTTCAAGAAATGTCTCAGATCAGAAAAATCCAATGCTTCATAATCTCTAGGATTTTGAGAGAAGAATTGCTTTACTGGTTAGGGTTCTAGGATTAAGACTTCATAAACTAAAACTTTGGATAGAGCCCAGAGAAAGAAACATAAAGTACCCAAACACCCTTGCATGGTTATCCTTCCAAGTCTTGCCTATATAAAATATTTAATCCTTAATTATCTTTTTTTTTTTATAGGAAACGGTAACTTTCATTAGATAATTGAAAAGATTACAGGCTTACCACCCACAAAATGGATGGAAAAAGAAAATCAAAAACTTACAAACAGGCCCAAAACAAAGCCTCCCTAGTAACTCCTTGCTTAGCTAAAGTGTCAGCCATTCCATTTGCNAGCCTCCCTAGTAACTCCTTGCTTAGCTAAAGTGTCAGCCATTCCATTTGCTGACCTTCTTACCCAATTAAAGTGCACCCCAATCTCCCTTGCTAAGCTAATAAYCTCTCTYAGMGGCTGTCTAAGAGACCACACTCCCAGGTTTCCAGTTTGCATCCACCCTATTTAATCCTTAATTATCCTTTCAAGTTTTGCCTACATTTATCATTTTTCTCTTTATGTACAAGGTGAAAGTCCATGAGATGCCTCAAGCATTGAAGTAAACTATATGCACTTCATTTAGGAAATCCATTTTGCACTGTTGCACAAATACCAAAAATATGAACCAGACTCCATAGGACTAAAAATGGAATGTACCGAAAGAGGACGCAACAAGCTACTTGCAACATAGGATGGAACAGTCAACACCACACTTTTTGTCAGAACAGAAACAATTCCTTCTGGTGTTTCATATGTCAAGGTATAACTCCCACCATCTAACTTTTTAATGCTTGAAAGCTTCCAAGATAATTTGACTTTGCCACCCAACCTGAAAGACTAAATGGAACTTCATCACTGTCATTATAATTTCAAAGAAAAACCATAAAAAAAGAGGAATTGCAGTATAGAACTAACATAAAATCAGTGCTGACTTGCAAAAAAAAAAAATTCTTGAATATGCATGGAGTACTTATCCTTCCAAAGGTAAATTCTGTAAAGTGCAAAGCTAATGGAACTCCAAAATAGCATGCTGAACAGGAATAATGATATTCCAAAACCCTTGTATTCTAACAATATAGCCTACCTAGTAGAAATTGCATTTGGCAGCATAGCAAGTCCTTTTCTAAAAGATCCAACGGTTTGGCCCTTTGGTTTTGGCAAACGCCTGCATGCTAACTCAATTCAATGTCTTGAAAATACATGGAAGAAAGCTATTGTAAAAGATAAGCTTCAATACATAAGTCTTACGGGTCTCGAGGAGGTTTGGGGTTTTTTTCTTGAATTGCTTTGAAGGTCCCACCAATGATACTACCTCCATTCTGTTCAAGTTTCCAAACTTTTCCAAATGCCGCTTTCATACTCAGCTTTGCAGGATCACCAGCATAAACACCTGCAGGCAACAATATTGGCTCAACTAAATCTAAAAATATGCAAGTTCCATTATAAAACTACACCATGGATATGACTTCTAATCACTAACATAGACAGCTTGACCAGAACTCACTGTGCATGACAACCTGAAGTTTTACATGGTGACAACAAAAGTAATAGCTCATGATATTAAATTTTTTAACAGAGGTAAAAGGTAAAAGATAAAAGATATTGTGTAGTAAAATAAAAAGAAATTTTATTAAAATAAGAAATAGAAACCTAACAAAACAAAGGAAATAGCGAATAAACAAATAAAAAAGAAAGCGGAAAAGAACAACAGTTTCTCATAAAGCAAATTCTTGGAATATTTTCTTTTGGGTTTTGTAGTAGGGTTCAACCATGGGTTGTGGAAAGTGGGCATCCGAGAAGAGAACCCACTTAATTTGAGACAAATTAGTGCAGGATCCCCATGGATATGGGCCCAAAACCCCATAAATACAACATCAGCATGTACATATGCACACCCATACATGTCTTGTCATAATATAAGATGGAACCTTTTATTTATAAAGAAAAACACATAACAATTAATAATTCATTATTCCATCACCACATGCCTATATGCCCTTTTACAAACTATATAAATACATGTACCATTTAATGTTCAATTTCACATGTCAAGTCTCTCATGGAGACGCAAGTAAGGTTCAAGTTAAGAAGAAAATTGGGACAAATATAGTGAAAGCAGTCTTAATTATGCTCTTCAAGATGTTAAAAAAAAAACAGAGAAGGTGATGTAGGACCAGCTCAGTTCTAGTCCTTAGAGAATGTTGAATGGTCTTCTTGATCAGAGTTTTATGGTTGTCAATGGCTGTAATGGCTTCTTTAAGGAATAAGAGAGAAGTTAGGGAGAGAAAGAAGAGAGAAGTTAGGGAGAGAAAGAAGAGAGAAAATACCTAGAATCACTCACAGGGTGCCTACAATCACTCTAGGGCATGGGAATCACTCACCATAGCTAGCATAAGCTGAAGAAAGCTCAATATATATTTCATTGCCTTTGTGTAAAACGTCCATACATATAGACTCTAAACTCATAATAATCCTAGGAGTCAAACTATTAGATTCATAATAGTCTTAGGAGTCAAACTGTTAGACTTGATAACTGTTACTAGGACTCAAAGTAAGCTGTCATATCCTATTTCAATTCAAAGAAGACTTAATAACTCTAATCCTACTAATGCAATGACCCTGAAATTTTAAACATAAACAAACTATAACTAGACAATTAAACCATATTATTGGACCCTACAGAAAAATTATATAATGGCAAAAATACCCTTGGTGTTCAATTCAGTCCAAATCCCAAGTACCATCACTATGCCACAACAGGACCTGTTGTAAGGCCTTCTTTCTAGAATAAGTCTTCAAGGGTGCTGATCGATTCCTATTAAAAGGCATTATCCTATGCAACATTTTCAGTTGGGGATATATGAGGCCATAATACAATTGTCAGTATTAGATATCTAGAAGATTTATAATTCATTCTGCATACTTGGCAAGGATTTTTGTATTGAATTTTTCCCATGAATAAAGAATGGGTTGAGAAATAGTGACACACCTTTTGAGCCCCAAGTAAGTTTCAACATGGAAGATTTCTAGGTCATTTAGGGAAACTTGCCAAATGCTGAATTCCATGTTGCATGTTGGAAATGGGTTGATGGTGGGCCTTGGCACAATGGATGGATTGCTCCATTGTGACCTGGGTGACCAGGGTCCAAATCTTGTGAACATCCTCTCTATATGTGCAGGGATAAGGCTACATACATCTGTCCCTCCCCAGATCCCGCATTGGTGGGAGCCTCGTGCAATGGGCTGCCCTTTACGTTGGAAATGGCTTGGGCCATCTATTGAGTCCGTTAGGGTAGTTGGTAAAAGGAATCCATTGGATTGGCTTTAAATGAGTTGATTCAGTAGGTGCTGGTTGGGTCACACCCACGTAAGCTATAATTACAAGTATATGCCGTTAAATGGGTCAATGGGTTAAATAGTTGGTTTGTAGCTCAGCCAACATAACTCACCCAAATCCATCTAATTGTCACCCCTAAACTATAGAAATATATATTGCAAAATGCAAAAGAAGTTCAATGATTAAACAGTATGTAAAAGAAAAACGTATAAAAATGATACCAATATTTACAGAGATATTTGTCACTAAAGTCAATTGGAATAAGAGCTGTATAGCAGAAATAAATAGGCAAGATGAAGAGGTGCTATCTGTGGCTACATCTCTAGGTTGTGGGGTAAGTGACTGGCTTATGGTTTACTTGGGTTTGCCTGCCTCTAGGGGGAAATCCTAGGTTAGAGTATCTGGCACCCAGTTTTGGAAAGGTTCGTGTTAAAAGGCTGTTTATGTATGCTTTATGTCAGTATTAGTACTGTAGGAGTACTATTGTAATTTTCTCATTATTTTATGATCGCCCTAATATAAATATGAGAGCTGGCACCATCAGCTCAATCTCTTGGCTCTCAACTCTCTTCTCTCCTCTCTCCTCCCTCTTCTCTCTTATTCTTTCTTCAGCCATGGTATAAGAGCGGATTTATTGGGCTTGAAAGGGAGATCGATCAAGCATTTTTTTTCTCCATCATCAGTTCATTTTTTATTTGGAGAGCCCAGAGAGCAGCATCGGACTGATCTAAGAAGTCTTTTTTTTCTTTTTTTTCCTTTATCTCTTGGTCGTGTACCAAGACAACCCTGTAAGAGGTTCGACTGATGTGAGGTGATCAGCATCTGTTGTTTCCAGTGTGGATCGTGTGATCCTTGTGATATGTCTGTAGGTCGATGATGACCTGTGTGTGCTGTAACAGCAACCTTGTGATGAGATTGTAAGTCTATGATGACCTGTTTGTGCTGTAACAGTAGTAAGATAATATCTGAATATCTGTAGGGCTTCGTTGGGCCCAAAAAAAATTTGGGGTTTCATAGTTTCTTGGTGCAGTTCTTATTATTCCCAGCAGTAGCACATTGTGAGAAGGGGAAGATTGTGTGGACTGTGAAACAATAATAATAATAATAATAATAATAAATCTGTAGTGGTGTTGGACTGTACTGCCCTTTAGTCTTGTAGTTGTTTTTGGAGTGATCTGAAGCAGCTATTAATGAGTATTGAAGACTCTGCCACATCTGGTATTTCCTAAATGCAGAATGAGATGAGTGGGGGTATAGATTTATCCTTCCCTATGGCTGTTATACCTCTGGATGGAGTAAATTATCTAGAATGGTTGAAGGGGATCAGACTGTACATTACTGCAAGAGGAAAACTAAGGTACATAAATGGGAAAATTAAAGAACCCAATTCCGGAAGTGCAGAACATGACAGGTGGAACCAGAAAAACAGCATGATAAAGTCATGGCTCCTAGTGTCTATGCAACCTCAGGTGAGAAGAAATTTTATGTGGGCTGAAACGGCTTATGAGATCTGAGAACAAGCAAAGTCAACATTTTCTGAATTGTGTCACTATGCAAAGATTTACCAATTACAGGCAGAGTCATCTACTTGAAAATAGGGACTATCAATTTGATAGGGCTTCTGAGGCCCGTAGGAGGGACTATCAAGAATGGGAGGAAAAAAATTCTCTTGCCCGGTGCTATATATAGCCTCCTTGGATAATCAGATACAGCGACAATTCGATCAGATCGAATTGTCCAAGGATATCTTGAATAGTCTAAGGACAATGTATGAAGAGTAGAATCGTTCTACTCGTCAGAAGGTCTTGAAACAGTTCATGACTGCACAAATATCCAAGAACCAGCTGGTTCATGACCATTGTCTTAAGATGATGGGATACATCAATGAACTGGAGGCTCTTGGATCTGGGCTAGATCATGTCACCAAGGTTGATGTCATCCTCAACTCTTTGCCTCCTTCCTTCAATCAGTTCATCATGAACTATAACATGAACAAGCTAAATGTTAGCACCCAGGAACTCAACAATATGTTGTAGAGGGCCGAAGAACTGATAAAGAATGATGAGCCCATTGCCATGCTTGTTGAAGGTGGCAAATCAGGCAAGAAGAAGAGGAAGGCAAAAAAGAAGCCTCAGAAGAAAATTAGCAAGCCCAAAAGGCAGAGGAAGGACAAAGCATCAGATGCTTGTCATTTCTGCAAACAGGCCGGCCACTGGAAGATGAACTATCCTCAGTACCTGGAGACTAAGAAATAAGGTAATTTCGAATTCTTTGTCATAGAAACCAATATGTTGGTAACTTTTGCTTCCTGGTGTATTGACTCTGGGGCTTCTACTCATGCAAGTAATACATTGCAGGGGTTCAGGACAAGCAGAAGACTGAGTGACGGAGAGGTGATTCTTTACTTGGGGACTTTTGCAAGTGTTACAGCTACAACCATAGGAACTGTAGAATTGTATTTCAGAGAAGGAACAATTACATTAAAAGATTGTCTTTATGTACCCAATTTGAGAAGAAATTTTATTTATGTTTCAAAACTATGTGCGGATGGATATTCTGTTCTCTTTAGATTACTATCAAAAGAAATAACAAATTCCTCACATACGGAGAACTTGAGACTGGTCTCTATGTTCTCCATCCTTCTCTGGAAACAAATATAACCGAAACTACATCGGATAATAACCCTAAGAAAAGAACCCGTGATACAATTAATCCCACGTGCCTGTGGCATTACCGACTTGGCCACATAAACATAGATCGTATCACAAGGTTGGTAAAGGATGGTCATTTGGATTTTCTAACTATAGAAGATCTTCCAACCTATGAACCTTGCCTTCAGGGTAAGATGACGAAACGGCCATTTAACGGTAAGCCTGAAAGATCAACGGGCACAATTGACCTTATACATACTGATGTATGTGGTCCGATGAATGTTAGGACACGAAACCAGCACGTTTATTTTATAACCTTTACCGATGATTACTCACGGTATGGTTACGTGTACCTAATGAGACATAAGTCTGAATCTTTTGAAAAATTCAAAGAATTCAGAC